TGAAAATGATCACATATTGGCTATTCAGCACCGCGCACACTGCACTTTACCCAGCTCATCAATATCAGAGTTGTTCGGATCGTGGTTTTGGCTTCCCGGAGATGCACCACTGATCATCTGAATCACTTCCAGGGATAATTGCAAAAGAACAGCGTAACTCCTGTGACCCTATAACGATAAGGTCTACTGCAAGGACTAATCCGTTCCTACTAGGTTAAAGGAAGCAGCAAGCGCAGCGGTTCTTTTTCAGGCGAGTGGCCAACGTCCAGTAAGTTTGGGAGGCAGACGTAAAGGACAGAGAACTGCATGCTCAACCCCGGAACGGGGAGCAGTACAGTCAGACGCTTGTCAGGGTGGGCGAAAATCCAAAGTGAATGATCAAGAATTTCCTCAGGGACCCACCCAAAGAACGGCCATTCAAGAAAGAGCAGGAATGGACAGATGCAAATCCACTTCCAGATGAGCGCTTTAGGGCCTGAGAGGCACAAAAAACTCCCGCCACGGTGAGCAAACAAGCTCCTCCTGAGAGAAACCCAAGGATGCGGGGTCAGCAGAACGGCTCACAGCATCAGCTCTGTCATTTAAGAAAAGGAACATGCTCAATATGGGCCGAGATACAGAAGCGGCGCTGCATGTCACAGAACTGGCGCAGAACAATGCAAAGTCCACGCGCCATGGAGAGGCCCTTCCATGCCACAGACTCCGAAGCTGAGTTATCGCAGCGGAGCGAAACGTGCACGTTGGGATGGGCAAAAGGGAGCAAGGATTGGGTGGTCCAGACCAAAGCTGATTGAACCAAAAGCTCCCACGAGGCGATGAATGACTGCGGGGTGTCAGAATGAGATAAGAAGGGCGCCTGAGAGGACACCATCCTCGTGACATTTGGCACTCTTGTTGTTAGATTGCGAGTTGTCCCAGCGTCACATGTAGCAAGTGTAGGAATACTGATGAAAGGCTTGTCGCCATCCCGCGCCATGATTCCCCGTTCCCCCTGCAGGCAACCTGCGAACTTGGTGGTTGTACTCCTTTTTCAAGCCTTTCTTTTGCGAGCGCACTATCGCAGCAACTCAATATATGTTCGTTCTGCACATCCGGTATTCAGATGAAGCCACTGATTTTAGTAGCCATAGCAATGAGACATCGCCGCACTCAAGTACCTGTTAAGTCAAGGGACAGACACAAAGTTCTGTCAGTGCAATTCCGGGCTCAAGGCGAGCTGAGTCCATCCCATCCTGACAAGGGCTTGCACTCACGCATAGCTTAACAGGCAAATGTGAATGCATGTAGAGGGTTCAATCGATGCCAAAGAAGTCAGATCTGAGCAAGAGGAGGGGTGTCGCCGCACTGACTCTCCAGTACTGCAGGATCATCATTTCTTCTGTCAGACAGCATCTATCAAACAAACCGGCTCCGTCAATGGTTAAAAAAAGCTGCCGACTGTTACTTTCTCTTGCGCCAATCTCCTTTTTCGGCTTATCTTCCCTTGTACCAAGTATAACCTCAACCATATCAAGGCTCGACTCGCTGTCATCTGCAGATTCGCATCTTCCTCGTTGTTTTCGGTCCCTCGCGGTCCTGGAGCTGCTGGCCTGTTCCTTCTCACTTCTGCCCATCTGACCAGGGTCGGCTCCCTTATTCCCCCCTGTTCTTGGCTTCTCCGCTCTCCCGAACTGCTGGCGGGCTGGCTTTCTCCACTGCAGTAGTCCATGATGAGTTGCACCTATTTTTCGACAGCTTGTCTCTGCACTCCTGCACTGCAGGCATGTTCTTTCTCCACCACAGCCGTCCTTGATGATTTGTGTCTATCATCGGCTATTCCAATTGAAGAACTCGACGATGGGGATGTGGAACTTGTCGGGCTTGTGGGGGGTTTGGCTGTTTTCTTCTTTTGCGCCGCTGCTCTCTTCTTTGGTTGTGGCTTCGGCTTCCCCACTCCTGTCTTGTTGTTTTCTTGTCCACCTTCTCCTCCGTCATCTCCTCTTCCTAGTCGATTCATCAGGTCGGCACGCCCATGTCGTCCACCCTCGGCCGCCTTCTCCATATCCGCGACCGATGCCCCCTGAATAAACTTCTCGCAGCCCACGGCCAGGGTGTGTTTCTTCTTGGTCATCCCTTGTGAGTCACAAGCGTGGCACCCTTCTCCCACATTGTACGATTCCTCTTTACTGCACGCTTCTGTCGCAAGTGCTCGGACCATCTTTCCGTCGCCCGCCTTACCAAACGGTGTACTGCACGCGGCTATGGCTGTAATCCCGCTGTTTGTTTCTCCAAAGGTACTTGAGGTCAAGGACTACCAAATCAAGCAAGGCTACGAACTCCCAGACAAGTGAGACCAAACCTTCTAAAGTTGCATCCCCAGGCGAAAGTCGATACTAGGTCGAAGGCACGCAAAGGCTAAGCCGATGCTCCCCAATCAGACTCACCAACTCTGGACTGCCTAAGGTTAGTTGTAGGCAGCGTTCTTTGTTCCTCCCGCGTCAGGGACTATAGACCCCTCCCCACCGCAAAGACAGGCCGCGCCCGACGGCCCCCCTCCCTCTGAAGGAGAGCCAGGAGGCGGCAGGGAACTTGAGGATGGCTACTTTGTTCTTCTTTTTCGCGGGCTGAGCTCACCCCTCACGGCCTACTTTGCTTCTTCGGGCTCAGCCGA